TGTGTCCCCGAATTGCTTCCCCCTAAATTGTTGCTTTCGTTTCCATGTCCGTCGTCGATTAAAAGCTTAACCCTACTGCGTTTAAATTCCGAACTTTCAGGGTAAGTCCTTCAAAGACACCGGTGAGGCCGCGAGTTACTCGTCCGACATTGCATTAACTGATCAACCGAGTTCGGTGACTTCCAAATGGTGAGAAACTTTGTTGTGTTGAAGGGATGTTGAAACTGTCCTTTATCTGTTGCAGTATTTAATTTCATCTTTGAAAGATTTCGATCATGCTTTGGATTGAAGCGACTTTGAGGGAAATGTTCTTTTTTCCCTTTCTTTTTAGATCCTTTCATGCCTTCTTTAGTTTTCTTGCATTGTCTGATCAACCAAGCATTTTAAGATCCGACCCGACTTTGAGGGATCGATCCAAATTTTTTCAGTATGCTCTCAAAAATCTACCTAGGCATCTACGCAAAGGGATCGATCATTTTTCACAAAAGGTCGGTCATTTTTTTTTCTGAAAATTTGCAAAAAAACAGTATGGATATTAATGAAAATAGATGAACATAGTTATAACATGCCATACATATGGAAACATCGTATCATCATGCACATATTTGAGCATGTCAATTGGATTAAAAGTCCAAATAAATAAATTTACACGAACAAAGATTTTAACGTCTCCAGTCGAATTACATGCTTGAACATCACTTAAAATAGATATCGTCATGTAATCACTTTATATTATCAAAAAAAATTCTAAATAAACATATTAATTTAAAAGATCATAACATGTAAAAATTCCAAAATACGTATTTAATCTATATGACCGTGCTTTAGTCAATATTCATGCATTAAACGTCATGCAACATTGAAAGCAACCAGAAGAAAATAAAGTCTAATGTCGAAGATGAAGTATAAGGACATTATGGGTTGAATTTTTAACTATCCCTCTCAAAATACATAGTCATTATATAATAATTTAAGATCTTATAGTCCAAATTTGATAAAAAAAAATCACTTAAAATAGAAGAGAAATTTTGAAAATAAGGAAATTAAGGATCAAAATACAAAACTGTCAAATTAATTAACTAAATTTTTAGTTTTTTCAATTTTTGAACTTTACAAATTCAAAATAAACTCGAACATAAGATTAAAGTTGGTTTGAATAATTCAAAATTTGAAAAAAAATCAATCTTTTCAAATCAAATCAAGTTTTATTCCCCTCTAATGGAAATAGGATGTAATATAAAATTTCATCATGTATTTTTATTAGTTTGAGTAATTACAAAGTTGTATATGTTTTAAATATATTAAATTATTTAATAATAAATTCTCAAACATCTCTGCAAATGTTATGCTTCAGTATAAAATTTTTAGATATAACAATTATTTCTTTAACCATTAAGTTCATTTAGTTGTTAAAAAATTATGATGTTAAATGAATTTTAAGATCTAAAAATTAAATTAAACTATATTCTTAAAAGTAGGAGATTTAATTTCTAAATATGCAGAGATTTTATAAAATTCTGCATATTTTAACCGAAATTTTGTTATAAAATATTTTAACTGACAATTAAACTAGTTAAAAATGATCTAATCATATTATATGATATAATATGAAAATTGATAAAAATCCTAAATATAATATATATAGTATATATATTTCATAAGTAATTACATAAAATAAATCCTTAAAATATAAAAAGTAATATATAACAAATTATATAAAAATATATAATACTTTAAATATAAATAGGAAAATATACCAACCGCATTACTAAACAAAGGATTTAAACTTGAAAAAGACAAAATGGGAAAAAGGAGAAGAAATAAAAAAAATATACGGTGTATAAATGTTTAAAGAAAGAAAATGATAATATAAATAAATTTGATTTTCCTTTTCTGAGAGAAAGTTCGGATTATTTAGTCTCTTTTTCAAGTCTCCAATTTCACTTCATCGAATCCCTTTCAAGATTTCAAATTTCAAGGTAAGTTTCTTTTAATCTCTCAAATGACTTATATTTACTAAAGTTTTCTTTTGTTTTGTTCGGTCATTTTTCTGGGATTAACTTCGTGTGTTTTTCTTTTAGAATTTGAATTTATCTCTTTGTTTTTCGAAAATGATTTACTTTTCCTCCTCATTTTTAGTGTTAACTGTTTTCTGGGTTGAATACTTGAATTATAGGCATTGAAATGTTTCTGAATTGAATGCACTGTGGAAAATTGGACTTAGTAACTTCATTTCTCTTACTAATCCAAAACATAGGGTTTTATATATGAATTTTTTGTCAGTAAATTCGAAATTCGGGAGCATACATTAACTGTTAATTCGAATTCCTTCGTTCAATTTTGAGCTTTTACTTGGTGGCATTTGCAGGATGCTTGGGGAATGATTTCATAAACTGACTGTTGTCTATTTCGATTAGAATTCAGTTTTTCCTATGTGCATTTAACTTCTTGTGTTGGAAAAGTTTGAATTAGGGCTTTAGATCGTGTTTGTTATCATGTGTAAGCCAAATAATCAAAACCAAATGTATAACTATTTTGGTTGGTTTTGATTTTGTAGAAATAGAACAAGCAAATTGTAAGTAGGAAAAAAAGGGAAATAAAATATTTTTTGGAGCATAACATAAATTTGAGAGAATTTTATGGGTAATACATTGGGGAGGAGAAAGCAAGTGGTGGATGAGAGGTATATGCGTCCCCAAGGGTTGTATGTTCATAACGATGTGGATGTTAATATGCTAAGAAAGCTGATACTTGAATCAAAGCTGGCTCCATGTTATCCTGGCAATGAAGAATGCTGTTATAATCTTGAAGAATGCCCAATTTGCTTTTTGGTTTGTATTTATTTTGTTTTGATTCATCTTATGTTAAAACACTCCAGTTGTAATTTCATACTCTTTCATCCTTTCGTTTTATCAATCATTGCATATTTGGAATCCTACATTGTCTACTTGTTTACTGATTCTTTGTTAAATGTTCTTCATGTCTAGTTATCTTTTAAATTTAGTTGTGATTGCATGTAATACCTTGTAATTACCTCAATATGATATTTCCCTATTTTATTTTAGTATTATCCGAGTCTCAACAGATCAAGATGTTGCTTGAAAAGTATTTGCACAGGTGAACTATATGAATTTTCCAATACTTATTGATATTGCTAGTTGCATGAAATTTTGACGGATTTTATTTGCACTAGAGTGTTTTCTGCATATGAAGAATCCAAATTCAACCCGCGCCCTACCCAATATCCTTCCAAATAATGAAATTTACAGTAGAGCTTTTCAGTTTGATTTTTTCCATGTAATTGTATTCCAATGTTTGCATTCCTCGACATTTTGAGGTGTCCCTTCTGCAAAACCTCAAACTATGTTGTGGAGTATCGAGGTGTGAAAACAAAGGAGGAAAGAGGGATTGAGGAAATTGTAAGTTCACACTTTCTTTCCAAAACAATGGAGGGTTTTAAATCCTATGATTTTCTTTAGGGAAAAAGTGAATTATATAGTTGTTTCTGCAATTTAAAATTTGCAGGAAGAACAACGTGTTATAGAAGCAAAAATTAGAATGAGGCAGCAGAAACTTCAGGATGATGAAGAGAGAACGTAGAAAAGATAAGAGTTGAGTTCTTCAAGGACCACTGTAGCACTGGGGGAAGTTCAATATTATTCAGTTGAAGGTATCAATCTATTGGGATATTTTATCATATATATTGACACTCTTCATTTCCTTTGACATTGTTCTATCTTTAAATTTATCCCATACATTTTCTTTGTTATTTGCAGCTTAATCCCCTGTTGAGGAGGAAAAAATTTCTTCTCAGGAATTGCATGTCACCTTGGTGATTCAACAACCATCACATATTAGGACAAACAGGTGGGAAGAGCTTTATTTAGCTTGTTATCCTCTATATCATTTACTGTTCATAATCATAAGTTACGAGAAAGAGATGTGCATAGGTTAGTTGTTAGTCCATATCGATGTTAATTTTTTATTCAAATCTTGGAGCTCATGTCATAATATTGGTTTGAGTATTTTCATTTCAAGTTGGCACGGTGAGGAGTAAAAGTATGTCTATGATAGATTTGTCAGAAGTGTTTCATGCAGATGATCCTCCAATCTTAATTATCTTTGATATTTGTTCTTGATTTTAAGATGGGATGATAGGACTGATAGGGTTATTGTGCAAGTGGATCTGAAGATGAATTTTTGTTGAAAGTTGTGTTGCAATGACTGTCAGTACTTAGTAGTGACCAGTTCAGCATCATCAAAGTTGTTTCTTGTTCAGCTCATGATTGAGGACTAATATCAAATGACTATTTTTTCGTCATTCACATGTGTTTTTGAGATCAAATTATTTCATTAAGTGTGTGGCATATAAGAGATATTTTGGATGAGTGCATAATGAACAAACTTAGCAAGAAGGTTGTTATCATTCACTAAGTAATTTACAACCTTTATAGAGAGAACTAAGTACACATAAAGAAGTAATCCCTAAAAATAAGTAAAATTCTTAAGAATCAATAACTAAATTAGTTCTTACTTTACAAGGCAATTCCTAGGACTAAGGTAAGAAATCTGTCCTTAATCTTAGGGATTCAAACATTCCCTTTCAAGCTGGAGTTTAGATATTTATCAAACCCAACTTGCCAATAAGTTCCTCAAACATGTTTCTGCTCAAACTTTTGGTTAACAAGTCTGCAACTTGTTGTCTAGTAGATAGGTAGGTGACAGACACTTCTCCAGAGTTAATTTTCTCTTTGATAAAGTGGTTGTCTATTTCCACATGTTTGGTGCGATCGTGGTGTACAGGATTATGAGATATGCTAACAGTTTCCTAGTTGTCACAATTCATCTATATAAGCCTATGTAGGGCACTTTTAGTTCTCCCATTACTCTTTGTACCCAGATTCATTCGCATATACCATGGGATAGTGCTTAATACTCTGCTTCTGCACTGTTACGTTCTACAATAGATTGTTTTTGCTTCCCCACGTCATAAGATTGCCCTAAACATAACTATAATAACCACTTGTAGAATGTCTATCATTAGCAGATCCTGCCCAGTCTGCATCAGTGTATACTTCCACATTCCAGTTGCTAGTTTTCTTGAAATGCAGGCCTTTACCAGAAGTCCCTTTTAGATACCTTAATATCTTGTACGTAACTTCCAGGTGCTTCTCCCTTGGAGTATGCATGTACTGATTGATAACACTCACACCGAAGGCTATGTCTGGACGAGTGTGAGATAGGTAGATAAGTCTCCCTACTAGTCATTGATATATCCCCCTGTCAACTTCTTCTCAATCATTATCAGTTCCCAATTTAAGATTAAATTCTATAGGAGTTTCGACTGGTTTGCAGCCCAACAAACTGACTTCAGATAGTAGATCAAGAACATATTTTCTTTTGGAGATGGAAATACCTGCCTTAGACCTTACTACCTCAATTCCAAGGAAGTATTTAAGATTCCCCAAGTCATTGAGTTCGAATTTTGCACTAAAAAACTCTTTTAGCTTCTCAATTTCGCTTGAATCATCTTCTGTTAATATTATATCGCCCACATAAACAATTAGGATGCAATATTTTCCACTTTCTGAGTGTTTATAAAACATGGTGTGGTCGGTTTGTCCTTGAACATAACTTCTACTGATCATAGCTTTGGCAAATCGGTTGAACCAAGCCCTTAGAGATTGCTTCAGCCCATACAAGAACTTCTTCAACTTACACAGTTTACCTTTCCTTCTTCAAACCTTGGTGGAAAATCCATGTACACTTCCTCATTTAATTCTCCATTGAGGAATGCATTTTTACATCCAATTGAGTCAATGGCCAATCCAAGTTGACCGCTAGGGATAGAAGAACACGAATGGTGTTTAACTTGGCAGTCGATGCAAACGTCTTATCGTAGTCAATAACATATATTTGTGTGAAGCCCTTAGCCATAAGCCGAGCCTTGTGTCGATCAACACTACCATCAGGTTTAAATTTTGTAGTAAATATCCATTTGCACCCATTGTCTTCTTCCCACTAGATAGATCCGAGACTTCCCAAGTTTCATTACTTTTTAGTGCCTTCATTTATTCCATCATAGCTTGCCTCCACTCATTTGATTCAAGAGCTTCTTCTATATTTTTTTGGAGTTTCTACAGAATCAACATTAGACACAAAAGTTTTGTATGACTTAAACAAGTTTTTATATGACATAAATTGAGAAATAGGGTTTTAAGTGCAACTTTTTTGCCTTTTCGAATTGTAATTGGAAGATAGATGGATATAAGAGAGTCTTCTGTTTCAGAACAGTCCTCGGTTGGGGATGAAATTGGCACTGTTGTATCAATTTTAGGAGGATGCCCCTGCCGAGAGTAAAATCGAACTTCTGGACGAATTTATGGATCCTCTGGAGCCAGTTTTTGCTGTTTTCTTGGATCAGGTAGTTGATGCTCCTTGGTAGTGTGATCAACCGTGTTAATTTTCTACTACACAGGGGAAATAGTGTCTAAATCTGGGATTACAATGGCACCTTGGTTATTAGGTTGTTTGTGGCAGTAGTGGTAGGATCAGGTGGTATAATGAGAAGGGTATTAAGGGACTCATCTTCATTGAGTGTATCCCCTGAAAATGAGATGCAAAATATGCTTCATTCTAAAAAAATGTGACGTCCCGAGAGATAAACATTCAGTGTAAGATTGGTGAATAACACTTATAGCCTTTTTTATGTGGGGAAATAACCAATTAAGACGTAAGTGTGGGCTCGAGGATCAAGTTTGGATTGATTGGGTTTATTATTATGGACAAAGGTTTTACATCCGAATATTTTTGTGGTAGATTGGGAACACGAAATAAGGGAAAAGACTTTTGGAGGGTATTTAGAGGTGTTTGGAGATTTAGAACTTTTGATGGTAGTCAGTTTATGAGATATCATGCAGTAATGATAGCCTCTCCCCACAAATTTTTAGGTACACCCATAGTGAACATGAGGGCTCGAGTTGCAATAAGTATATGTCAGTTTTTTCCTCGGAGATCCCGTTTTGTTGATGGGTGTCAGGACAAGAGCTTTGGTGAATGATTCCTTGGTAAGAGAGATAAGGACTTAGGACATAGTTAAAATATTTTCTCCTATTGTCAGTGTAGAGAGTATGATAGTAAAATTAAATTGGGTTTGAACCATTGAGTGAAAGTTTTGGATATTTTGGGTGTTTCAGATTTTTCTTTGAGAATGTAGACCCAACAGACCCTAGTGTGGTCATCAATGAAAGTTATAAACCACCTAACCCCCGTAACATTCTTCACTCGACTGGCTCCCCATAGGTCATTATGGATTAATGAAAAAGGTTGGGACTGGATATATGGTTTTAATGGGTATGGTACAAGGGTATGTATGGATAATTGACAAATCTCACACTTCAAGGAACTAACACTTTTATTTCGAAATAACAGTGGAAATTGTTTCTTCAAGTACAAGAAGTTTCGATGCCCTAGTCTACGGTGCCATACCATAATTGTGTCCTCTTTTGAAGTGGATAGAGCCAATCCTTATTGTGAACAATCTTTATTCCAAACATAGAGTTCATCGTCAACTTTAGCAGTGCCAATCATCCTCCCCGATTTTTGTTATTGTATCACACAACCAAATGCAGAAAATTTAGCAAGAACGTTTTTATCCTCGGTAAGTTTGCTAATTGAAAGTAAATTGCAGGACAAGTTTGGGACATGTAGGACTTTATTAAGAGAAAAATTCTCTGTTAGTTGTATTTTCCCACTCCAGCCACCCGTGAATAAGAGTCATCAGCTATGCGAATTCAGGACTGATCATGGCAGAGTGTATAGGTTTGACCTGTCATGTGATCCGAAGCACCCGAATCAAGTATCCAAGAGGAATGTTGAGGGCAATACCTTGGGTAGCTAGAGATCCATGAGCATTAGAAGTACCATACAACTTATGGAGGGTCTCAAGTTGGGTTTTGGTCAGGCGAACATCGAGAGCATCATCTGCAACATTAGGGATATTAGAGGATAACATTGCAGTCTTGTTATCTTTAGGTTTTTTTCAGGATAGACATGGAGTTTAAAACATTTTTCCCTTGTATGACCAACACGGTTACATTGGTTACACCATAGACAAGTTGACCATGTATCATTCCCAGCTTAATTTTTTTGGAATTGAGGTCTCTTGGAGATGAAGGAAGAAGTTTCAGCCGAATGGTGACCAAGGGTTGTCCCGATTTTAGATTATTTTACGTCTCCGATCATGAATCAGTGTTGATTTTCCTTCCTTCGAACTTCCTCAAATGCTTAACCAATGGTTGGGAGAGGAGTTCTCCCCAGTTGGGAGAGGAGTTCTCCCCAGAATACGCCCGCAGACTTCATCTAGCTCTCGGTTCAGCCTTGCTAGGAACTCATAGAGTCGTTCCTTGTTGAGATGTGTCATAAACTTGGAGTGTTCCAAGCCTTCACCCCGGTCAGTCTCATCATACATGTCGAGTTCTTGCCATAGGATCTTTAGATTGTTGTAGTAATGAGTTACTTCGAGCGTCCCTTATCGAATATCTTTTAATTTGAGTTTGATCTCAAATATTGAGAAGTGTTTCCCAAATCAGAGTAGTTCTCCTTGACTGCCTCCCACATATCTTTCGCAGTCTTGAAAAGAAGATAAGTATGGCTTATGTGGCTTTTCATCGATTTGATTAGCCAAACCATTACTATTGAGTTGTTGAGCTTCCATGTAGAATAAGTAGCTTTGGAATATGGGTAATTTAAGTATTAGCTTTGGAATAAAAATTATTTAAATACTAACTTGAATTACTTCAAGTACTAAATGTATATTTAAACCTTTTTAAAATTAGAGTATATTATAAAACTTATTACTTTACTTTCTTCTCATTCTTATTCTAGTCATTAAATTAAAAAAAAATTGCTCATTAAACTTTTAGTTTACTAGCATTTTAGTCACTTGAGTGTTAAATCATAATGGAAATGTGACATGATAACGATGTGTGCTAATGTGGACTATTTTTTATTGCAACATGAAATCCATGTGTCATCCACGCTATTTTTTCTTTTAATTTTATTTTATCTTCTTCCTCCAAAGATGAAAGTTTTACAGTTCCATCCATATGTCATGTCGGGATGGTAATTATCATTCTTTGGTGACTTCTTCAATCACTCAATATATTGATGAACTCATCATAATTGTCTTCTACCACACCATCAATTTAGATTTCACTTAAATCATTTAAAAATTCAAAAAACTCAACCTTATGCCCATAACTCATAAAACCATAAACCACTATAATCTATGATATTCACCTTCCAAACAACATGAAATAAAGTTATAAAGCTCGCTTCTTTCTTCTCCACCTCCGCGTCATTGGAACTTGGAAGATGATGCTTCATCATCGGAAAATCAAAGGGAATTTAAAACTAAGAGTTTTTCACAAAAAAGTTAAAGTTTTGGGGGGCAATTTCAACATTTTAGAAAGGAAAATGTCCACTCATAACATCGTTAAGTATTTAACGGTGGAGTGACCAAAATAGGAGTAACTCAAAAGTTCAATGAGTAAATTAAAATTTTTAAACTTAATGACCAAAATTAGAGGAGAAGAAAGTTGAATGATGAAATTTATAATTTACCCAATAAATATTAAAATATTATATTTTTGTTTGGTGTTAAATCATTAGAAGATTGTTATAATTGATATTTATTTGATGTAACAAGAGGGGCTAATATTGAGAGGTGATGTACATGTTTATCTTGATAATCAACTTTTAAGCCACATCAATGATGGGTTGGCAGTAACTAGAATTAATCCCTCAAAACACTTTATTTCTTTATTTGCCTCAGAAACCCATGTCAAATTGGATCCTCTTCTTTTCATTGAAATAATAATTAAACCCTTTCTTTCATATAATATATATATATATAATCAACCCTCTTGACACCACAACACAATCATTAAAACTATGAATTTTTTATCCTCTTTTCTCCTTATTTTACTTCTCTCCTCTCCCTCTCTTCACTCTGCTTTGCCCTTCTCAAAACCTCAAGGTCTCCCTCTCTCTCTATATATATATAATTTAGTGCGTAAATATATGATATAGTAAATAACAAGTTGTTTAACTTTAAATGGTTTGTGTTTTTAGATTTTGGGGTTGAGGAAGCTAAGGAATATTCAGCTATGGGTCATGATTACTACCAGCATGTAGTGAGATGATTAATCTTCTTTTATTTTCTCTTTTCTCTTTGTTTTGAAAAAAAAGGAAGAATGATTATTTTGTGGTGAAAATGCAGTCATTTATGGGAGCAGGTGGAGACGAAGGTGGTGCCCATGTTTTGCAAAGGAAAGAATTGCATGAAGTTCACTCGGGACCAAACCCTATCAGCAATTCAGTCCCAAAGCAAAGACGGGAAACAAAGTTGAGGAAATTATTACCTTAGCTTAATTTGCTTTGTATTTTAAAAAAAAAATACAAAATAGCTGCAAAAATGTTTTTTTATTGGGGAATTATAGATTGCTTCTAGTTAGAGAGTTTAAAAGAAAATATCACTCAAAATCCATAAAATCATTGCAAATCAATAATGGAGAAATATTATCTTGTAATGATTAATATCATCAATAAATTAATAAACCCTAGTTGTTGAGTAATATTTGTCCTTTTATGTTTTTTTATGCTACTAGTTTATGATTGATGAGGGAAGATTTTCCATATCAACTATGTAACTAAAACATTTTATATATTTACTAATGAATCTCTGTAAAATTTAATCTGAATTAGTTAACCAATAGACTGAGTATCAGCAGTTAATTAAAGAAATTCGTAAAAAATCACTTCTGAATTTTTTTTATATTTTAACATATTAACAATTAATATTCTATATGATATTCTTTTATCAAATATTTCATTAATAATACATATGTACTCAATTGATGTGGTTTGATAAATTCTACACATTGCACTTTAAATTAACTCTCAATTGGTCAAATGGATTGGGGTTTGTGAGGGTGAAAATGCTTTATCTTATGTTGAAAAAAGCAATTAAATGTACCAAAAAGCTGTTTATTTCATCTCTTGATAAAGCAAATTTGTTGTGGGAATTCAAAGCAGTACTACTACCTTGTCAAAGACCAATACTAATGATTTTGCTTGTCCCTTAGCTACAGCACAATTTAAAAAATAAAAAATAGTCATTAAACTTAATAATCAGTACAATAAAATTATGAAATAATTTTTTAATTCATAATAGATTAATGTATATAATATGTTCCACTTTTAGTATACCAAATAATAATTCTTTAATTTAGTATACCAACTGCATGAAGTTGATATTTAGAGCTTTTTTTATTATATTAGAATTTATAAAATAATTTATATATCTTAAAACAATTCTTTGTTATCCCCAAAATCAAGTGTTTTAAAGAGAAAAATATAGCCAACACCTTATGCTGAGCTAAAAAATCAATAATTTATACTTAATTAAATTACATTAAGAAAAATTATGGTTATTTTAATTTAATATAATTTATTAATCGAATCAACTAAATGACTTCAATGATAAAAGAGAATGCGCAATCTGTAAATTCCTATGTAAGACCAAGTTCGAATCCCACCACCATCCCTCTTAGTGGGCAATATGTAAATTTCTAGGTAAATCCCAATTGGGTCTTAGGTATGCCCTTGTCATGGACTGATGGAGCCATCCCTGACCTAAACTTCTATGTACAAAAAAAAGGGGCAGTGTTGTTATCGATAGGTTTTCTAGTTTGAACAACTACGTTTGTAAGGTGTATGTACATTCATTGTCAATAAACTAAGAAAGTTCTGAACAAATAATATTTTATAATTTTATTCCAAACTAATAAAAAATATAATTTATCAGACTTGTATTTTATATTCAAATATAAAAATTATTAACAAATTTTAGTTTCCTGACAATAGTAAAACAAACCAACTATATTGGCAATAGTTTCAAACATACTTTAGTGAAGTGTTTTTTTCTTTAAAAAGAAAGTTGCATTCATCCATTAAACTTTTTGACTTTCACTACTTATGTTCACGAAAAAATATGCTTCAAATATTTCATTGAAAAGACAAATTCATATAATGTGCTTTCAAATCAATATCCCCCCACCCTAAAAACTAAATGTAATGTCATAATGCATATCTTCATAATTATATTTTATTTAATGGTATTATATTTTAAAATAAGTTTAGTTATAAGTATAAAATATAATTATTTATAAGTAATATGTTGAAACATAATATAATTATCACCATAATGAGATTTAAACTGTGATAAAATACAAGACAGTCTCATACATTATTTATGTAACGTGAAATTAAATATGGATATTCAATACTAATAATCGGTTCCTCTAGATTTTTTTAAGAAATACCATATATTCAAATCTTGACATTATAAATGAAGTAAATTGAGTTGAAAGGTCACTTCGTACAATTATATTTATAATTAATAATTCATGATGTTATCCTTTACCAACTCTTACAAAAGACTATTGGTTATAGTATTATGTAACTTTTTTATTAATACATTTTTTTATTAATATGTGTTTATTGTAGGTTTTGAATAACTTTAGCCAATAATTGGAGGGTCATAACCTTTTATTAAAAATTTCAATGGACAAACTCCTTGTTGATGGTCTGATGACAATTTTTTAATTATCTGCGTGTGATATCAATAATTGTACGAAAACAATGCCTCTCAATTATTACTGGGTTTTTTAATTGTCTTAATCATCTTTGTCAAAATAATTACATAAATATAACATCATCCTCACTTCAATTATTTTCAACATATTATGATAATGGATGAATTTACGGTGTGCCACAGTACATCACTAATTAAATATTGATTTTATTAAGTAAACATTAAAAGGATAAATTATATATTTAGTACTTATATTATCATTTTTATTTCGTTTTTAGCACCTAATTTTTTTTAAAACCATTAACGACAATGTTGATATGACATGACATGTCAATTTTTTTATTTCTTTTAATTTCCTCATCTCCTTTCTATTTCTCTGTCAGTATTTTTTAATTAAATTTATTCAACCAATTAAATGGTGGCATGTGTCACTAACTATGAGGAGAAAATAAAAGAAAATAATTTTTCTCTTAGCATGATTTGAACCTACACTGTTACATGAAATGCAAAGCACTCAACCATTGTGTTAAACTAGTAATTAAATAAACGTACCACATCTTGTTAAATTAATGATTTAAAGCTTAGTCATTCAATTATAATAAAAATTTGTTTTTATTACATCAAAGTTAATAATTACTTATATCATTGTTAAATTAAAGAATAATTTTTCACTTTATTTGAAAATTAAAAATAATTAAATAATTATTTATATACTTATAGAGTTTATATTAAATTATTCTAAAATGTATATTTATTATATTATGAAATTATTTTAATTTTTTTTAACATCGGACGACATAAAAATTACAAAT